AAAGCTACACAATGGGCTATCTGTGATCTGCCAACTACGGGTATAAAGCAGGTTTCTAGCATTGTAAGTATGCATATATACCGCTGTGACACTGGGGGACGTTTGTTTCAAGTTGTAAGACCGTGTCATGCACTGAACACTCATAATTGTTTCATACTCTGTAGACAATTAACATACTTTATTATGTACTTTACGTGTAGTTTTCTTTAAATAAAGTTACATCTACGCGAGTTTGTTTGTTTGACCACGTAAACTTAAAAAACAAAAAAAAACAATCAGGATTTATCGATCTAACACATAATGCCTGCAAGAAAGTGTAGCTTAAATGCCGTGCTTGAATATGAAAATATAAGGTGAATTCAAGCGAAGAACATGAAAACTACCCCAAATGTTTTGCAGGTCGGAGCTAGTAATATAATGAATCAAACTGATTAAACGGTGACTACTTCAATCTCAGAATCCTGAAAATCCTCCCAAGGAAGAAGAGTTTGACCATTTTATTGATGAAGTTTAAATTAAAGGCTTAGATCAAGAACAATCAATCAAAAAATTAAACACGAAAAAATCTGGACATAAAAACATTAAGTTTTCTCTCCAATGGTAATGTAACTGGAGAAGATTTTTACATTGATTTCAATTTTGTAGGTGGCTGCTAAATGACTTAAAAATTAGCAATGACACAGTTTACACTTCACAAATATTTATTGGAAAGTAATTTTGCTTTAGTCAGGGATGATGAGAAAATTAAACAAACTCCAGGCGTAGTGAATAAATTAGAAAAGTTTTGCATATGATGCAGTGAACTGGTTTGTGTGAAGGGTATACTGATTGAACCAAAATTCTTGTAATGTTAGGATTTGATCAGTATTGATATCCCAGTTTTTTTGTTTTTTTTTACACAAACTTCTGATATCACAGTTTACACGAATCCAGATTCTTTTGTGTTCTGCCTGACAAAAAAGAAAACAGCACTGGCTACAGGAAAAGATACGACTGATTTATGTACTTACTGACCTGACGAAAAAGTCAGCAGTAAAGTAAGGAATAACTTTCAATTCCACCATAATGAGCGAGGCTAGTGATGCTGCATATCCCATGTTATATTCTATAGTAATAGCATTGACTGAAAAGTAGGAACAGACTTTTGACTACATGCATTTCTCTGACGATTAATCTGAATCCAAGGTTCGCTTTCAGGAATGAAGAAAGTGTTGATGCTTGAACTGAGTGCTCCTGGCCAAGAAAAAGGTGTTCCTGAGATCATGGAAACCGAAACTTTTCCTGCAACTAGTCTTACTGTTATTTAAAAAGTGAAACGATTCAACTAAAGTAAAAAAGGTTAAATGTGGAGTAAAGCAGGAGGATATAAAGAAAAGAGTAATATCAGTAGGTCAGCTGTTCGTGTAACACTATACACACTGTACTATGTAATTTACAGGTGACTCTTAATAGCAGTACTAATATGTTGGCTATAATGTATTATTATGAAATATTATTCTCACCATTTAAGTACGCATGTTATTTATCTAGTACTGTACGATGTTTAAATAGTTTCTGGAACCCTCAAAGTATATTTATTGTATGGAGCTACTCCAGGCTAATGTTGACGCTATACTATAGTGCCGCGTGCATTTGGGAATCGTTGCAACTTCCATAATTGCATTCAAAATCAAATGGTCATTTAATAGAACTATATTGTTTTTATTATCCATTTGGGTCTACAATATTTCATAAAAAGATTTAATGCATCACTAAACCGAAATAAAACAAACTCGCACAATCTAATACAATTGGTGTCACTCCTCTCGTCTGGTATTATTCCTATCTGAAATAGAACTCTTAATAACACCACTAGTCTTTAAAAGTCATGCTTGAAGCAGAAATAAGAAAGGTAGCATGATAACATTACCAGTCGAAAACGTTATAATATTTTCTTCTTCTTCCTTTTATTTTTATAAGTTATAGCATTTCAACATATTATTAAAACAATGAATAAAGAAAAATCCACTAGATGTAACATTCACTTAGCATTATATATTACTCGGCGTTTATGACTGCTTTTCGTACCCCGAAGAAAATAAAAAAGTATGCACTAATTTGCTTATATTAATTATTTGAGGTTTTAAGCTACTTTCTAAATTTACTTTTTATATTTTTGTGTATTGTAAATGTGCTTTTATTTATTCTAAAATTTTATATTTGTTTATTAAAGAACAACTTAGAACTGTAATTAATGTTCATTATTGTATTTAGGCTGATGAGCTCACAGAAAAGAAGCGGAACTAGTACCATTTTTCAAATAACGTACTTCATATTTTTATCATCTTATATTTCTCTCCTCTTTTAAATGAAAAGATGTTAGAAGAAGGATTCATTTTCAAAAAGCATTTTTACCCAGTGAAAAATCGCGGTTTCGAAACGTTGCAGCCATAACAGTCTAAATGCGATAAGCAAATAGTTTATTCCCAACCAATTACTCTCAATTGAGTAAAATATATGTAAGCCGACATTTGTTTATTTTGGCATTCAAAACAAATTAAAATTGCAATGTACCCCATTCTTTACAATAAAAAACGAAAGCATAATTAGATACGGTGCGAAGCGACATCTTCCTCCGTAATTAGAAGTTTACAGATAAACGTATTTTCTATATGAAGAAACCTAAGAACAATACATTACAGAGTTATTTCGTATACAACTTACCTACACATTCCCCGACCATGAACACTAAACATAAAGCACTAACGATTAGCAGTCGTATACGTGCATGTTTGTCTATTCCCTCTTCACGTTCGGGATGGCAGTGACCTTCGCTTGTCTGAACAAAAGAAAAAAAGTAGCAAACCTTAATTCAGTGACAACAGAAATGCAGATTAACTAGATTATGTTAACCAGGAGTTGTTAGTCTCAAATATAGCTTAACATCTGATAAAAGACAATAACTATTCCTTAAGTTCAGATAAAACATTTAATCAACAAAGAAAAAAACATGTTATGGAAAATGTTGTTAAAAAAAGGGCCGAGATAAACAACTTAATATTTTTTCAGTGCGATTTCATTCTCTCTCAAAGCTATCGGCGTGTTCTTAGCATTGTGATGCTAGCAAGTGAATGCATGAAAATTCTTTTTCGTTTTGTTCGAGGTTTCTACCATCTGTAATACCGCCAAAGGTAAACTTGAGCTTTAGAATAAGAACAACAGAAGTTTAAGTAACCTTAAAATTTGGAATAAACCGAAACACTGTTACAATGGTCGTAAGTAGAAGCCTTCCAGCCTCGTGCCATTATTTCATGTAATAAGCAAGTAATTACAAAAACGTTCAGCCGTTAGTGCATGAAAATGATAATTATTTAATCGTCTAATACAAAGTGACCGAGTTTTCGTCTTCTTAACTTTTCAGGAAAGTTTACATGGCTATGGTATTCTCAAATACATCGATTTCTACCAAGAGTACTCGAGTAGGTCCGACAGAAAATGTATCCCGGAGCGAATCTGAATACTCCAAGTTCGAAGAATAAATAAGACTGGACACAATTTGTAACAAAATGGACCAATCTTTATTCAATTTATAAAAACAAAAAACAACTTTCTGTTTAAGAACTGAATGAAAGCTGTTCTAACTCAACTGTAACTGTTCCATAGTAATATGTACATGGAGAAATGATACTGCTATTCTCAGGACATTTGACTATTAGTAATTTCCCCAAAAAAGAAAGGTTACATCTTCGATCAGTCACTTGACCCACCAATGGAAAATATTACTTACTTTCACACAGTATGTTCAACTTCACAGAAATATTTCCCATGAGAGAACACACGTGATGTCCTAGACGAATGATACAGTTTGTTTTTTGAATTTCGCGCAAAGCTACACGAGGGCTATCTGCGCTAGCCGTGCCTAATTTAACAGTGTAAGGCTAGAGAGAAAGTAGCTGGTCATCACCGCCAACTCTTCGGCTACTCTTTTCCAACGAATAGTGGGATTGACCTTCACATTATAACGCTCTCACGGCTAAAAGCGCGAGCATGTTTGGTGTGACGGG